GTCTACCCCGGGCGCTGCTGGCGAGCGAGCTTTGGCTGTTATGTAGTAAACAACCCCCGCGCCCAGTGGGCTCAGAATTGTCTGGTTCATTGATCTTCATTATATGTACCGAGCAGTGTTGGTATCCATGATTGGGGATAATTAGCAGAAATTTAGTTATCCCATGTTGAGTAGTGAATCCATAAGTATTGGTATTACCAGTAATACCGTGTTATCAGGGCAGTTGGGGGTGCATCCTCCATATGTACTACCAGCTGAGTCCTACCTATTATCTCTGTACCTGATTGGGGATAATTAGCAGACATGTAGTTATTCCATATTGAGTATTGACCCATAAATATTGATATGACCAGTTTGTTATGAGTTGTGAGTACATTCTTCATATTTACTACCAACTGAGTTCTAGTTAAAGTGCCATGTTGTTCATTCCGAAATAACATGATGTATTAAATAATATCTTAATTTGGGATATTGTCAAGTGTATCATTTAACTATCTGTATTGACAATGGAATAATATAACAGTTGTTTAATGATGTAATAAGTAATTGAAGATCCATTTTATGAATTGTAAAGTAAATCCCAAGTGGTCCAGTCTTGTCTGAGTGTACTTAATTAACATCTTGTTCACTCCTTATGTTAATAAATATTGAATTAGTAAACAACGAGTATCACCTCCCTATTCCTTCTACCCATTGGTTCTCAGAAAATACCTATTGTAACTCACGTGCCTAGAAGCATGCTAGCTCGCTACCTAACAGCTCAATGAGATATGTTGTATTCTAATAAAAGTCTGGGTGGTGGCAGGGTACCGTTGTAAGTATGATAAATGTTATAGTAAGAATGACATGGTTTCCCAGATTAATCCATGGTATAGAATATAACTAAAGCCGGATATAATTGACAGAAATTGAGGACATAAAATTAAGAAAATACAATAATATATATGACAGAAGGAATAAAGTATAGAAAAGAATATTGACTTAGAAAATGTAAGCAAAGAAATATAAGATATATACTTATAGAGAGAAAGACATAGAATATGAAATTATTAATATATATACACAAGAAAAGATTAATAGAGAATAAAGATATGAAGCAAGTATACAAGTATATAAATAAAAAAGAATAAAAATATGAAATAGGATAAAGAAAAAATCCCCTCCTTTACACTACAGGTCCTGTTCGGTCAACGAGAGCAATCTCTCAGGTTCTCTCTGTTGTTGTTGGATCCCAAGTATACTCTATGCATATTTACAGTGTATATGTTTTCTACAGGTACACCAAGTACGGGTGATTGTGAAATATGTAGTGTATCATGTTGATAAATGTCTGAGTATTGCCATGGAGTTGATATCGGCATTAGTGTGTTACTGGAAGTAGTCAACAGTCTAGCATTACTTTAATAAACCTTTTTTATTGTATGTTAGGGGTATTATTTTCCTACAGTGACCACCTTTATTTTCTCCATATATCTTGGTACCATTATTACATTTACCCACGTGTCATACCCTCGAGCCATGCCACCACAGGTCAGAAGTTAAGTCAGAAAGTACAGAAATTGTTGAAGTATTGGGACAGAGAGAGAAAATAAAGTAACGTTATAGGAAGTAGATCCCCTATAATAGGTGATAACGATCTCACGCCCCTACAAATGGTTCGCAGTGGTAGTCGTAATTTAATATGGTTTCAAGTTGGGAAGAATGAACGTGGTGCTGTGGGCTGTTTTTAACTGTGATTAGTATTAACCATTTCTCTGTACAGGTACCTAATAACCATTTCTCTGTATCTAGTGATTATTTCAGTTTGCTAATATTTTTTTTCCTTTTTTGTGAATTCTGTACGAGTTAGGTAGGGACATAATTATTTCACAGGCACTTATTATATTTTTTTAGTGGAAACAGTGTTAAAGAAGTGTACAGAATTGTTTCTTTGTGTTTTGGCAAAGAGTTGAAATAACAATTCACAATTAAATATTTCACTTGGAAGTTAGATAAGAAAAACAATTGGCTCAGAATTTTTTTTAGAGTAAATTATACTTGAAATAATGTTGTAGGAACATAAAATATTCAGAGTAAGACTGCCTAACTATTGAATTCTGTAAAGAATATCTTTGGCCTGTGATTTTAGCATTTTAGATGAGGTTCATTAATTCATGAAGTGTTTATGAGTGATAATCTGCCTTTTTTTCCAACCTGTGTTAATTCAGTTATTACTTACAGACAGTGAGTATATATTCAGGCCATGGCACTAGTGATTTGGGGAACTGTTTCATCAGAGAAGAGGCCCCAGAAGCATTGCACAGTTCAAGGTTAAGTGGATGTGTACTTGGTAGTTGTAACATTCATTAATATTGATATGTTATCGCCGCTGGCTTGTTTTCGCTGGCGTCAGTGCTGGCGTTTGCTGCCTTACCGGAACAAACATTAGGGGTTGGGTGGTGTTTACGGACAAGAGCTCCTGATTCTGCTGAATGTATGGTTTAGTCTAAACCATACACTCAGTAGAATCAGGGATTCAGGGCCTCTTGTCTGTAAACACCGCCCCCCAGCCGCCACATCTGGCGAGGTCACAGATCGCGTGGGGGGGGCGGCACACGTGGTCACAGGCTGAGAGATTTACTGTTTGTTCGGGTAAGGCAACGCCTGCACTGTAGTTGAAGCCAGTGGCGTTAACAGACTCACTGGAAACCCTCGAGCATCTCCTCGTAAAGAAAGGCATAATTAAAAGGCTTCCTGGTCATTTACAAGAAAGGTATGAGGTAGCAGTCCTCGATCACCCTCTAAAGAGATATGGCCATATGAAAATAAGGGACATCTGGCAGTTCATACAGAGCAGACCGAAGGAGGCGAAAAGGGGGCATACTCGATACACTAGCTTGAGGTACGGGGAAAAAGACCTGTCTAGCAAACAAGCCATAACTCTTGTGACCAACGAAGTGGGAGAACGAGATTGTCCATTTTGTCATGGCTCTCATCGGCTGCCACAATGCTCAAACTTCCGGAAGTTAACAAGGATGGGAAAAAGGGACACAGTCAAAGAGTTGGGCTATTGCTTCTTGTGCCTAAGGGACCGGCATCGAGCTAGCAAATGTATGGCTGGCTTCCGCCCATGCAACATCGACAGGTGTGGTAAGGCACATTCAAGATGGCTCCACCTGCCGAAGGAAGGGACAGGTGTGCCGCCAAGAAAGGCAGGTGGGAGCAGCCGCCAGATCATAAGATCGAATAGGGTAGATACTGACGTTAAGGAAGGCCGAGGTGTCAAGAGAGAACGCCAGGACTATGACCTTGAAGATAGAGAGCAGAGAGGTGGAACCGGAGGAAGAAAGGATAGAAGGAGAGAGCCCCAAGAAGATGACCAAGGAAATCAGCTGAGGCGGTTTGACCAAGCCGACGACAGGCAAGGAGAGAGGATATATGTGAATTACGTGGATACTACTGTAAGAGGGCGAGATCAATGACTAAGCCAAGACATGGTCGTGCTCCCACTACTAGAAGTGCAAGTAATGGGAAAAGGGTTCACAGGATCGGAGAGAACCACGGCGCTACTGGACACAGGCAGCAACAGGTCTTACTGTGCCAAGAGACTGGTCGAAAGACTAAGAATGCGAGGGAAACCAACATCACTCTTCATAAACACGTTAACCCAAGGGGAACAATGTAACACCACAGGAGTAGATCTGGAAGTAAGAGGCATTAACACCCGGAGAGCGAAGTGCCCCATATCCCTTCCTAAGGTACTAGTACTTGACAGACTGCCACCTTCTTTAGAAAATTCGACAGCTACAGCCCAAGACATAGATGCATGGGGACACCTTCGGGGACTTGCTCCACTTCCACCAAACTGACGAGTCACAGAGTTACCGATTGGACAAAATTGCCCAGATGCCCTGACTCCCCTTGAGTGTCGGACAAGATTGGGTTGGACGATTAATGGGCCTCTGATGGGCAATTTAACTCACAGGTTTACAACGGAATGTTCCATGCTGACCGCCTCTACACAAAAAATTCGTTTGGAAGAGCAGGTGAGGCGCTTCTGGGAGATCGAAGCGTGACACCAGACCACGGGAGATGGCTCCCAATCATCAGTGGAGGATAAACGGGTCATCGAGCTTTGGTCGTCGACTGGACAGAGAGTGGAGGGACACTACCAATTCCCAATTCCATTCCGACGTCAACCGCCTTGTCTACCTGACAACAGAGCGCTCGCTGAGCGTCGCCTACTGGGACTAAAGAAACGCCTATCGAGGGACACAAGGTTGAGACTCCGGTACAAGGAGGAGATGGAAAAGTTATTCAACGAAGGCTTTGCCTAAAGAGTGCCACTAAGGCAATTATCGAAGTCCGGTGGAAGTAGCTGGTATTTGCCTCTTCACCCAGTACTGAACCCCATCAAACCAGACAAGGTACTGATAGTCTTCGATTGTGCAGCGGCCTTCACGAAGACTTCACTCAACAACCAAGTGCTCCAAGGACCAGACCTCAACAACAAATTGATTGGAATGCTCATGCAGTTTAGACGAGAGCCGATCGCCCTAATGGCCGACATTGAAGCGATGTTCCATCAAGTGAAGGTAAACCCAGGGCACAGAGACGCTTTACTATTCCTCTGGTGGGAAGGTGGAGATTTGACACGAACGCCAATGACATGTAGGATGACAGTGCATCTCTTCGGATGAGTGTGGATTCCTTCTTGCGCGGCCTATGCTCTGCAACGGACCTTCCAAGAGGTCGGAGATGGGTTCTCGGATGCCGCAAATAGAGGGAAATCAAACTTCTATGTAGACGACCTGCTCCTGTCAGTAACTGAACCAAAAGAAGCAATTACGATATCTCGGCAGTTGCGACATCTTCTATCCCTGGGAGGTTTCAAACTCACAAAATGGATCAGTAACAAGAAAGAGGTCCTCAACACGATACCATTGGAAAGTCGACATGCTGGAGTGAAGGAAGTGAACCTGTGATGTGAAGACCTCCCCACGGAGAGAGCCTTGGAAGTCATGTGGGACCTGAATGGAGACCAGTTTGCAGCAAAGGTTCAGGTTCCCACCCGACCGGAGACAAAAAGGGGCTTACTAGCAGTGGTAAGCTCGGTGTACGACCCTCTAGGATTCATCTGCCCTTTCACTATCAAAGCCAAGTTCATTTTCCAAGACGAATGCAGGCGAAAGAAGGACTGGGACGAAGACATCGCCAAGCAAAACCTTCACAAGTGGTTGCACTGGCTTGAAGATTTGACATCACTACGAAACTTCAAAGTTCCTCGCTGCTACAAACCCGGGGGCCTGGGTCGTGCCACCTCATCGCAACTTCATTACTTCTGTGACGCCTCACAAGTGACCTATGCAGTTGTGACGTACCTACGGACAGTAGATAATGAAGGTAATGCCAGATGTTCTTTTGTTTGTAGCAAGGCTCATCTGACCCCTCTCAAACAGCTAACGGTCCCAAGGCTAGAACTCTGTGGGGCAGTCCTGGCGACAAGAGCAGACCAGACAATCAGGCGTGAAATTTGAGTCCCACTTGAAGAATCCGTATTCTGGACGGACAGTATGATTGTGGTCAAGTACATCGCCATCCTAGAGAAACGTTTCCACGCCTTCGATGCCAACAGGATCTCAGCTATACATGAAGTCCCGGAGAAGGCCCAATAGAGACATGTACGATCAAGATGGAATCCAGCAGATGATGCAACAAGAGGCATAAAGTACATGTTGAAGACATGTTAAAGGAATGCAGATGGATTGATGGTCCCTCTTTTTTGTCTCTACCTGAGGAGTACTAGCCGAGAGAACCGGAAAACAAACACGAACTTGAGAATGATCCCGAGGTTAAACTCGAGGCGGTGTCATTAGCCACAGCAGGAAATAACGCCAATGCCATCATGCAACTGCGATGGAGCAAGTACTCATCGTGGAATGCGCTGCAGAGAGGTGTATCCTGGATCAGGCGAGTATCCAGCATCCTGAGACATGACTTTCTGGGTGCAACACCGAAGCCGCTGGAATTGCCTGAACTGCGGAATTCCAAGCGGGCCATCATTCGGTTCCTGTAACGGGAGGCCTATGGTGAGGAGATGAGCCTCCTGCAGCACCGACAGCTGCCACGACAAAGTCGACTGTATCGATTAGAGCCATACCTAGGCCAAGACGGGCTGCTCAGAGTAGGAGGAAGGTTGCAAGCTGCCAAAGAAAGAACTGGACCAATACTACTGCCCAGAGACCACCCAATGACCAAGCTTATAGTGCGGGAAGCACACGCGGTGGGCGCTGGCCATTCCTGGAGACAACATACACTGTCCATACTCCGGTGTGAGTTCTGGATAGCCCGTTGCCGCCCTCTGCTCGATAAGGTAATCAAGGAATGTGTCACTTGCCGTCGTAACAATTGGAAGCCCACTAGTCAAAGGAAAGCCATGCTGCCCGAAGACCGGACCGAGCACAGGGGGGGGGGGGCGTCCCTTTACTTACATGGGCACTGATTGCTTTGGCCCGTTCACAGTAAGACAAGGACGAAAGAGTACCAAGATTTATGGCTGCATGTTCCCCTGCCTAGCTACTAGTGCAGTGCACCCGGAGGTGTTGGAGTCTCTAGATACAGATGCACTCCTAAACGCTACTGTCCACTTCAACGCTAGAAAGGGTACGACTCTGAAACGTATTCGTTCAGACAATGGCACCAACATGGTCGAGGCTTGCAAGGAACTCCATGCAGCAGTGCGTAGTTGGAGGAATGATGAACGCATATGCAGACGCTTTCAGAAGAAAGATATAGAAAGGGTATTTAACCCTCCAGCAGCTTCACACATGGGAGGAGTCTGGGAACGGCAAATCCGAACAGGCAGAAAGGTTCTCAGAGCAATTGTGGGGACCCAAGTCCTGGATGAATATTGACTGCAGACGCTATTTTGTGAAGTGAAAGAGATCATAAACAGTCGACCCATTACACCTGCCTCGAGCGACGTGAGAGACCTGGAAGCGCTTACACCAGTCCACGTCTTCCGGCCCACACGCTGATCTGTCACTGTAGTAGGGCAGCTAAATGCAGTTTTTCAAGAGAATCATGCAAATGGTGATACAAGCACCAAATTTGGCATGGTAATTCTCTAATGGTTACTAGTCAAATCTGCCTGATTGGCCATTTAAAAATCCAAGATGGCGGCTATTTTTCAAGATGACCGCCATATTGACCTTCAAAAGTTGATTTTTCTTATAGAAATTGATGTAGTTGGTCAATCTGAGTGATCTTGGTGTCGATATGTTTGTTTTCAAGCATGCTCAAATGATTTGTTATAATTTCAAGTCCATTGTAACATTTTATCCACATAAAATAACACTTTTAGTAAAAAAAATATAACCAGCCTGCTCAGGGCTTGGATGTTGGAAGATGGACACACTGGTCCCATGGAAGGACGTTTTGGCCGTAGTCGCAGTGGGGTTGTGGTCAATGTTGCCCACTGCTGAAGTCGTGAACAACTGCTTCCTCAAGATTGGTGGACACACCACTCCATCTTCCACATACTGGCATACAACTGCTTCTCCAAGCTTGGCTGATAATTGTAGAACTCTGTCATATGAAATGCTGACCCCATTTTCATCCAGCATGTTGATGAGCTGCCTCTTTCTTGTCTTAGCAAACACAGACATGCCGACGTAGATAGCAAAAGGTGTCTCAATGTCCTTGGAATATCTGTGGATTAGTGTTCCTACCTTGTAGTTGGTAAAGCAGTTGTACTGTAAGAGCTTTGAGATAGCAAGGTCAGACTTCGATGCGCCAAGCTGGAGTTGGGATTTGATATCTGCACTGTAAACGCCAGTCAAGCGGTTAAAGGATATTTAGACTCGTGACGTTGGACACAAACATTATAATTCGGTCAAACCTGTTGAATACAATTCATTTAGTATTTCAAATAAGTCATACATAGGCACTCCTACATAAATGTTTAATCCAATATATATTTACATAACAATCATGGCTATGGAATTAGTCTAATCTTAACACTTACAATGAGTACTCAATTTGCCATATTTCTATATTGTCACACTGATAAATGATGCAATGGACACAGTCTACCTGTGTACACAATAAGTACTAGTTAAACTTAGGTGTTGAAAGTCTAGAGAGAAGCCTATAGCCTGGCCCCCTGGCTGGTCCGCTATGGCTGAGTCAGGTGATTAGAATTATACATAAACAAACTCCCTTCACACGCTCCAACCTCCTTCTGGGCATCTCATCTCCACCATCTTCGTACTCTACATACTGCATATGGGCAGGCACACCCAATAAACATGACATGACTTACAGCCTAACATAATGTTTGTTTATGTGTCATCCTACTCATTGCTGCTTGCGGTAACACCCACTCTGTTGAGCGTTCACGCTCAAAACCATGTCAGGCCTTTGATACTTAATGCTTTGTCACGTTCTTGTGACCATGCTGCCCTCAGGCTGATGGTATTCAACTTTAATTTTGTCACGTTCTTGTGACTATGCTGCCCTCAGGCTGGTGGTATTCAACCTTAATTTTGTCACGTTCTTGTGACCATGCTGCCCTCAGGCTGGTGGTATTCAACTTTAATTTTGTCTCGTTCTTGTGACCATGCTGCCCTCAGGCTAGTGGTATTCAACTTTAATTTTGTCACATTTTTGTGACCATGCTGCCCTCAGGCTGGTAGTATTCAACTTTAATTTTGTCACGTTCTTGTGACTGTCGCTGCCCTCAGGCTATCAATACTTATCAGCTCCTTAGGACATCTCGGTCCTTTGACGTTCGGAGATCACTGTCTTCATGTGTGGATACCCAATTCATCTTCCTGGCCGACTCCGTCAGCCCTTCCCATTGCTCCCTCCAACAAGCATAATTTTGTCACAGGTCGCAGCATTGTGGACGTCATCGTCTTAACCACTGCCTGTCGTACAAGTCCATCCTCGCCAGCCTTGACTTCCATCACTCGACCAAGGTGCCATTTGTTGCGTGGACTATTTGCTTCTGCTATAATGATTAGGTCACCAGGGCGAAAGTTGCGCCGTGGTCTGAAATGCACTTGTCGAGATCTGAGTTGAGGGAGATACTCCGTCAGCCAGTGCTTCCAAAATTTATCTGCAAGGTACTCGATATGCTTCCACCTTCTGTGGTATGATTCGCCTATTGACCTTCCACCTAAGGGAAGATTACCCTTTTGACTTAAGTGCAAAAGATCAGCAGGCGTGAGAGCCTTTGGTTCATTTGGAGTGTTTGGAACCGGGGTGATTGGCCTCTCGTTAACTATGGCTTCCACTTCACAGAACAGTGTTTGCAGATGTTCATCGTCTAAAACTTGTGAGCCCACAATCGCCTGCAGAACCTTCTTTACTGTGCGAATCTGCCTTTCCCATACTGGTGGATTAAAGACCCAGTCAATATCTGCTTTCAGTAAGGCACCTCTCAGTCTGTCGTCTTGCTCCCAACTTTTCACTGCCAGTTTGAGCTCTTTGGCTGCCCGTCCCATGTTTGCCCCATTATCCGACCTAATACGCTCTGGTGTACCTCTGCTTCGTGAGATCCTTGTTATTGCGTTGAGGAAGGCATCTACGTCTAATGAGGCCAAGAATTCTAGATGAACAGCCCTAATAGCTAGAAATGTAAACAGACATCCCCAGAGCTTGACCTGTTTCCTCCCTTCCTTGATAATGAATGGACCAAAAAAGGCCGTTCCAGTGTAAGCAAATGGAGCCTTTCCAGGAGTGACACGATCTATTGGTAAGTCACCTTGCCTTTGATGCCGACTTCTCCAGTTGTTCCGTCGGCACACTACACAGCGTCGTATGATTATATCAAGAAGGCATCTGCCCTGGGGAATCCAATACCTTTGCCTCACACACGCCATCGTGTGTTCTCGTCCGGCATGTCCGGCTCTCTCTTCGTGCATCTCCCGCACTATGATTTCGGTGATGTGGTGGTCTCTAGGCAGCAACATTGGCTCCTCACCACTTCGCCCAAGATGGGTTCCTTTAATTCTTCCCTTTGATCTGAGCGACGTTCTCTCGTCCAAGTAAGGTTCCAGTTTATATAGCTTATTGTCCTTCAGCAGCTCACCCTTTATGACAGTTTGGATTTCTTTCTCATAAGCCCCTTTCTGCACCAAGCTTATAATTGTCTGCTCAGCCGACGGTAGTTCCTCAGTGCTTAGCCTCTTCAGTTTGAGGCGCAGGTCTGCGGTCCTTGTACTGGATCCAAGCCACCAAATGAACCTTTTAATCCATGCCACCCCTTTCACCAAGCGGTACCATGAGGAGTACCTCAGCCACAGTTTGGCGAGGGACCACTTTGACTGCTCGCTCACTGCCAGAGCAACTACAGATATCTGGTGTACTTCTTGTTTCACCACCAGTAAGTCGTTCAGAACTGCTGGCAGTTCCTTTCCCTTTGGCCACCGTTCTTCAACACTGAGTAGAAGGTCAGGACCTCGTATCCACCGAGATCCTGCAACCAGGTCCAGGACAGGTAATCCCCTAGTTCAGTGGTTCTAAACCTGGGGGCCATGGCCCCCAAGGGAGCCACAGCAAGAATTTAGGGGAGCCACGGCGAGCTGTTATAAATTGTACGTTTCCAAACAATATTGGGAATCTGAATTAAACAAAACTTGTATTACTTATTTTGACTTGGCAGAAGAGA